AGGAGTTTCTGGGTCTTCACATCAGCAGCCTCCATGTCCTCCTTTGGCCAGGTCACTATGCTGGCAGGGTTTCTGATAACTGGCATAGCATATGTGTTGATGGTTTGAGTCTTGTTCCTCCCATTGAGCTGGCTTTTCAGGACCTTCAGCTGTCGTCATCGGTGTGTGAATGTGTGCGTGAATGGGTGAATGGTGGTATGATCTCCCTGTAAAGCGCTTTGGAAAAAAGCGCTATATAAATACAGTCCATTTACCATTTACCATTCTTAGATATGATCCATGTTATCTTATTAACTGAATTTCGCTCCATCACAAATGCATGTTTTGATCTAAAGTAACAAAAGATGCTCTTACAGGACATACTGGTGCACAAATTGGAGTCAAACAAACATGGGGCAAACTTGGCAGAACCGACACAAACCAACACTGACACTGATTGTATCTAGGGCAACACCACACTCAAGACGAGATGAAACTTGACAGCTCCACCAAATGTTAATATAATGCATATAGTTCACCCACATAAACCAGTAAATAGATCCCCTAGAAACAGAGCATTCAACCTTATCTTCTTTAATAACTGTATGAAATCTATGTACAGTATGTCAGTATGTCAGACACCTGCAAAATGTCCACTCTCACATACAGATGGTAGAGTATATGCTGAAGCAGGTCAGTATGCTAACTGTATTCAGTTTGTACTGAAAAGGCTGGCCACTAAAAAAACAAAAAAAAAGAAGCATGTGGTGCCTTTCAGAAATTGAACTGGAACTGACTTTACCAAACACAACACAAATATGTTCTTCTACATTGTCTGCACTTTCTTTCAGTCTTTGAATTTAAATAAATGTGCCTTATTTTCAGATAGCTGGTTACATATATTTAAAATCATAAAATGGTGTTTGCAACAGTATTATGAACTGTATGGTTGGTGAATACAGCTGGATATCAAATTATATGCAAAAATATATATTTCTAAATCATCTTTAGATGGGTTATATTTTGAGAGTCTTGTTATTAGATATCTGGGCCCCGCAGCAGGACAAACAAAGTTTGGTTTGAATCATGTGAAATGTGTGTGTGTGAATGTTTTACAGACATTTTACAGATGCTGGTGCAGCTGTTGCACCTCTCTGTGTGTGCTTCTATACGAGTGTATAAGCTGAAAAAAACACTTCATGTATGTCAGTAAGTCAGTCTGTCTGGATAGCCCAGTGGCTCACCTCTGGGACAGAGCGGTGGGATTATCTGAGGGCCAGCTAAAGTGGGGAAAGGGAAACAGAACATGGGGATTAAGAAGAAGCAGGTTAAAATTAGAAAGGATTTTTTTGGACACTGACTAGGGGGCAACAAAAGAAGAGGGAAAAGGTGAATTGGACATGAAAGAACATAAAGGAGATGCAGAAAATGATGATGATGATGGAATGGAAGAGTAATGAAAAGCAAGAATCTAATGTGCAGAGCATCAGAGACAATATACACAGAGAGAGAAACTGAGACAGAGAGAGTGACTTGTATGATTCAAGGGCTAGAGCAGCAGCAGCAGATACAATAATGAGACTATAGAAGAGCAAAAAAGGCAATAAGAAAGAAATAAAGAAAAGAAAATGAATTTTTTTTTTCAAAAGCTGAGGAGCCAGTCAGGCTACAGATACTTTGCTCCGGGGTTGTTTGAGTCCCTGCCTATGATGTCACAGCAAGGCGCCCAAGCCAGCACAACTACCTCTCATGGTATTAAACTGGGCCTATGTTGTGACAATGACAGTTCCATTGCCCGCCATGCATCTTCCAGACAGTGGACACTGCCCAGAGCAGTAAAGAGGCTGAAAAACACAGCAAAAATGCTCCTACTGCTGTGGCACAAACCCAGCAAACCTTGCAGTGACTTAAATACAGCCTGGCATACACACAGACAGACAGTATGCCCTGTAGCAACAGCTCAGCACATTTACATTCCATTTACATTACTTTTACCTGTGGCCACACACACACACACACACACACACACACAG